TATGATTTCTCAGCTACACAGGAATTACCATGTTTCAAAAACCGAAGCTAAAACTTGAAATTTAATTATATAATTAAATTAAAAGCATTAATTCTGATTCATCTTCATGCGAATTTTGGAATAACTTACTTTTAAATTTACTGAGTTTTAAACGCACATATAAATTCATAATTTCCTGTTTCCAAGGATACAGAGAAATCCAATCATTCAAACAGGGGCGGTAGCATGTTCATTTTTATTAACTATTGTTGTATCAATTATGAGTTACGTTCGAAAAAGAGGTTAAGTTTAGATAGGTTAGGGGTGCATTTTTCAATGAATTTTTACATCCGTTCAATGCATGTCTGTTTTTTTTTGTTTTGTTTTTTTTTTTTGTTTTGATTTTTGGGGGTTTTTTTTATCAACGGGTAAAAGTTTTACAGCATTGTTTTCCGTTAAATTCGTACTTGTATAGATGAAGATTCTTTATAAAAGGGGTGTTTGGGTCAGAATACGTTATATTGAACTACAATTTTAAAATATTATTTTTACTTTTAATTACTAATAGACTATATTTCTTTCTAAAACAAATAAATGTAATAGAATTACTTAAATTGTTTAAAAATTATTATTACATATCAAATATAAGTATGTATATTACCAGCTCCCATTTTTCTTTTTTTATTTATTTTATTATATTTAAATATTATTTAAGGAACATTTTTGACAATGTCGGCAAAGAATAGGTATTTCATTTCTTTGGTTCAGTAAATTTTTATTTTTATAAACTTAGTAATATATAGTTTCTCATGCAAGCACGAAGGACATAGATCATTTAATGACCTACATATTCTAGCTTTTCTTATTAATTTCCATTTTACTGTCTGTGTTTTATTGGTTTCTTTTAAGTGCCAGAAATATTTTGATAGGGACGTCTGATTTCGGTATTTATTTATCCTAAATTAACTTTGATGTTGATTGAATCCCTTTTTGAACTCATGGCTTGTGCAACCTATATAGATTTTTATGTTTTCGGGATTCTCAATAGATGAGATATTGCATTGGTATACTAATGATTCCGTGCGACATTTATTTTGTAGGGGACAGTTATGAGGATTTCTGCAGTTACATAATTTTTGTTTATCTTCATCTCTTTTTATTCTTATACTGTCTAAATTTCTTTGATTTTGGTCTAAGTGTTTATTCAAGATATTAGCATTAGGTTTATTAATAATTTTCTCGATCATACTGTTCTTTCTTTTTGTTATAACATATATAATTAGAGAAAATTATTAAGAAACATCAGAAGGAAAGAGTCGTTTAACAGCCATTACAACGAATTTTCGACAATTCCTTTAAAGGGACATTTCAGCAATAATACCATAAAGACATAAAGCGTTACTGAGTGTGAACCAATATGAGAAAAAAAAACTCTATTAAGGAGAGAGAATAATTAAAGAACAGTAATTAAGAAGACAGAAGATAATGATTGACATTGCATTTAAATGTTTGAAGATCAAAGGCAATAAAACCACTAAGATGCAAGGGATAAACGAGTATTAGAGAATATGAAAAAAACTACTATTAAGGAGCAAGAGAACAATAAAAGAACAAGAATTAAGAAGACAGAAGATAACGATTGATATTGCATTTAAATTTTCGAAGATCAAAGGCAATAAAACCACTAAGACGCAAGGGGAGATGAGTGTTAGAGAATATGAAAAAAAAAGTACTATTAAGGAGAGAGGACAATAAAAGAAGAATTATGAAGACAGAAGATAACAACTGACATTGCATTTAAATGTTTGGAGATCAAAGGCAATAAAGCCACTAGGACGCAATGGGTTACTGAGTGTTAGGGAATATGAGAAAAAACTACTATTAAGGAGAGAGGATAATAAGATAAGAAGAATTAAGAAGACGGGCGACAACGATTGACATTTCATTTAAATTTTTTGAAGATCAAATCTTGCTGGAAAGCGAGAAGCCGGAAGGCACTTCCACAAGTGAGATGTGTGAGAGAAAAACCCTTTAGCATAGAACTTACGGATCCATCTAGATATTTCAAACGTAAGATGTTGCGCTAACCTAAAAAGATTGAAGTCGAAATTCCAGAACAGGACCAATAACATTTCTGATTCATCTTGGTATTTTATTTCAAAATCTCAACATAGAAGAAAGACCAGATTTGCAATATTTATAATTTTAAAAAATATATGTTAAACTGAAATCCGTTGGATTTATCATAAAAAATAGACATATACATTAAAACTAGAATAACAATCTTTTGGTCAATACCAATTTGGTTAAAGAAATATTGAACAACTAGATGCTGGTGAAAGTCCATTGCAACTAATGGCTTCGTTCAACATAAAAAGTCAACATTGTATGATATAAAATCTTCAAAAGAAACTATTCTCCAGCGTTCACACTGTCACAATGAACAAGAAAATAAAATAAAAAACATGAATGTGATGAAACCTGGACTGAAATTGAAAAAGCTATTGAAAAGGTTGTCAGTTTTATGGAAAGAAAGCCAGTATTCAACTATAACGAGTGCAATAACGCACGCAGATTTAAAAACCTTTGGGATTTAGCGCTTTCGTCCTTACTCAAGATCCGGAAAAAAATTCTCTAAACTATTCGCTTTTTCAATCTTTAGATATTGGTAAATTCTTTTGTGATGACGTCACGCGCAAGATGAGATACAAGCGAGATTCATCGCGAGACTGAATGTATTTTTTTTATTTTATGTTACGGGCTTTCAAGACTCTGAAACCTTATCCTATTTTTTTTAAATTAATTGTGTATGGTATATACGTATTGGTTACGAATATTTGTGGTATATTGGTGACAATATGCGAAAGAGGATGACTTAACTAGCTTTGAAAGAAGAAGAAAAGGTAGAAGTAAAGGAAGAAGAGGAAGAAGAAGAACTATTTGATAAATAACATAAAGATATATTTTTAGCTTTGAAAGCATAAAAATACAGAAATAAATTGACCAAATAAAGCATAGATAGATAGATAGATAGATAGATAAAGAAAGAAAGAAAGAAAGAAAGAAAGAGAGTGAGAGAGAGAGAGAGAGAGAGAGAAAGACACGGGCCCAATCGTCACTCTCCCAGGATGTTTAGCCCTTACATTGGCAGTTAGATGATGACACCTGATATTCTCTCTTCACTCGCGAGGCATATGTCAAATATTAAAGACCATATCGTTTTACCGTTTTCCACGTCTTAACGGAGTCACAGACTACTGCGAGGACATCGTGAACACATTGTTAAGAAAATCGTTATTATTGCTTTATTTCCTCTTCCTCCCCCCCTCCTCCCCCTCCTCCTCCTCCTCTTCGTACTATTTAATGCATTTTACCATAGTCGTATCTTGTGGCTTTGGTTCTAGTTGGGGCAACAACAATTTTCTTTAAAAAGCCCAGCACTTTCCTATGCTTTCTTGCTGATTTCATCGAACCATTAATACCCACTATAAAACACAACATTAATTATAAAAATCTCGTAATAATTATTCGACCAATAGCCCACTAATGCCCGTCGTTCAAAGATTGGATGCTGTGTGTTAGTGTTTAATAATGTTGCCTTGAAAGAGTTTATATTCTTTCTAGAATCAAGAGCTATACTACTCTGTTCAAAAACATCCCACCTCTTCGAATAACTGTTAGGGGACCTTACCCATAATAACATAATGGACTATTCCATAAGTAATAAATACTGCGCCTCAGGAGGAATCAGGGAGTTCCGTCTGAAGTCTGAGTTCAGTCTGAAGTCTGGAGTGAAGTCCGTCAGGAGTCAGTCAGTCGAGTCAGAGGCAGTCCGAAACAGAGTCGTGTTCAGACAATTACTACTAAACCTGATTGTTCGTATTAACACTTTTCTACCTCTCTGTATATATTCCTGTTTGTAATATATCTGTGTTATTCCATATCCGCCTTCGAGTTCTTCTTTATTGGTTCTACCTTGGACTATCACCCGGGGTACAAGGAACCGGACCATAACAATAACTATAGCGTAATACTACCCCATTCATAAATGTTTTATGAATTTTTTTGTAAGCTATTGCCGACAAAGGATTTAACAAATGATGAAGTCTTAAAAAGGGTATCGTTTTTGTTATCACATGCGAAGTTACTAAAGCTCGAGCGGCAACAGATTTCCGCACAGGACTTTACTCAGTATTCTTGCTGACTTCTTACCACGGACTGTTCAACTCGTTTAGAAATCTGTAAGATATCAACTATCATCATCTGCTTTTACGGATTAATGATTAAAAATGGATTCCAATGAAGAAACTCCGTGAGCCTTGAAGGGGACTGTCATTAATCAGATCTCATAGATTGGCGTTAGATAATCACAAAGACCTTTACCAAAAAACAGAAACCACATTAGTTGACAACTTTCATCATCAGCAGCAATTAAAATCGATGACTAGAACGGGAAATATGGTGTTCACTTTCCACACTACCTTAAACAAAAGGTTAGTAAGGAAACTCTCATCAATAATAGAAAGTTTGACAAAAGTGGGCCCGAGAAACCTGCTTTCCTGTAAAACTGTTTTAAGGGAAAGATTTTTGTAAATTTCAAGCGACAATGACGCTAACTGTTCGGTCAATGAATGTCGAATGTTTCCTTATAAGGAAACGTCTAATATTACCAGTACCATGAGTGGAATTTGCAGAGCTGGGAACCAAACCGTTAATCGCTTTAGTTAACGAAGTTGGTCTTAACCCATTTAGTAAATTTGCAATATGTGTGCACAATTTCATTGAAATCGGTCGAGAAATCTAGTCGTGCATAAATAGCACACACACACACAGACGGATCCCACCACACACACACACACAGACATACAGGCATCTTCTGTTTTATATAGATGTATAAAATTGTGCATGCAATTTTATGTCTGATATCACAATATTCTGTGTCTTTTCAGTCAAGCAATGAGGACCTCAGACCTATGCGGATGCAATCTCTGGCCGATTTTCTATCGTCTTTATAAGTTGTGATGATTAAACGTAGCTATCGCAAACCCCCCAGCAATACCATGCGATATCACCATGTTTTTTCTGCTTCTCCTTTACGTAGTGTGATTGTAAGATCTATGCATTTCCTTCTTCCGATATTGCATGTTTTACCAGATCTGAGGAAATCGCATTTGCGTCAAAACCTCGAGATCTCATTTCAATAGGATGCTTAATTCTTCTTCTTATCATGTCTACCGCATTCTTCTTGCATTTCTTTCATGTTTTCTTTTTTCTGTTTAATGGACATAGTCGACATAAAGCACAAAAGGCCTGCAAAAATTATATGTAAACATATCAGTTAACCCAACGCCGTAGATATTTTCTTCATTTACCGAACGGATGGCAAGAGGAGAATGTTGAACAGTTAACGTGCAGAGGCAATACGACGTTGCAAATTAACTAAGACTCTTTTATCTGTATAAGCATCAAACAATGATGTACATTGTAATAAAAGTATGCCTAGGAATGTTCCTGTCTTTCACAATATTGATTTTTGCCAGTGTGAAAGCTAAAGTTACAATAGAATTTTGACATTATTTATAACCCCGGCAAGAATTTGAAGCATCTAGTCGTGTCTGTATTTGCAACTTTTTGATAAACAAAACTAGCAAATCTTCCCACATGCATATATATATATATATATATATATATATATATATATATATATGTCACGTTTTGTTTTCTTCTAATATTCAACAACTGCTCTTCAAGCAGTTGTTGAATATTATCACTGTCATGTTTCATGTGAAAACATGCTCGCACTTCTCGCTTGTGGAACTGTTTTTCGCCTCCATGCTTTCGAGCCGACTTTAATCTGCAAAAATTTAAATGTAATGTCAATCGCTATCTACTATCCTCCTGATTCTTTTTTTTTTTTGTCTTTCTGCTCATTATTAATGTTTCTGTTCCTAATTCCTCCCCACCCTGTAACCTTTTGTGTTTTAGTCACATGACTGCCTTGCATGGTGTGATAGCGATTTTTTTTTTTTAAAAAGTCAATAAATAGGAGGATAGAAGAGAAGGAAAGAAAAGCAATAAAGAAGAAAAAGAAGGAAAAGAAAGAAAGAAAGAAAGAAAGAAAGAAAGAAAGAAAGAAAGGAAAAGGAAAACAAGGTCTCATCAATTTACAGTTGAAACCTAACTTCTATGCTAATAGTTTCTTTTCTCGCACTTCTGACTTGTGGAACTCTCTTCTGGCGCCATGATTTCCAGTCAACTTTAATCTGCAAAAATTTAAATCTTAAAATCTACTTTCTTCCTGGTTACTTTTTTTCTCTTCCCGCTCGTTTTTAATGTTTCTCTTTCTAAGTCTTCCACACCCTGTAACCTCTTGTGTCTTAGTGGCTTTGCTGCCTTGCATGAGGTGATACTAATTAATAAAAGAAACAAAAAATGTATTAACAATAAGTGTGTATTGTAAGTGTAGAATAACAAATTTTGTATTAAAAAATGTTAATAGAAAATTACGGTATTATGAAATAGCTTGCATCATAAAAATATGTAAAAAATGATGTTATTATAAAATTAATGCATTAAAAAAAATTTGCATTATAAAATATGGGACAAAAACAATGTTATTTTAAAATTACGATATTAGAAAATGTTTTGTATTATAAAATTATAGTATAAAAATTCTTGTATTATAAAACATGGATATAAAAATATTATAAAATAATTTACATTATAAAAAATATAATATAAAGACTTTCTATTATAAAAATATCGTGTAAATGAGTACGATTATAAAATAAATGCATTCTATAACTTTTCTCTATAAACAATGTTGTCTTAAAAACAATCCTGTAAAAATGTATGGCATTATAGAAACGTTTTCTTTTACGAAAATATAGTATAAAAATTGAATTTATAATAAAATTATTGTATTATAAAACATGTACATATTTATTTTTATTTCCAAAAAGAAATAAAAAATTATTAACTTACCGTTAATAAAATGAACAGAAAACTGCTTTTCTCACGAATTATTATAACATTTTAAATGGGAATATATCTTCGAATTTGTAGAGAAAAGGCTGATGTTCTTATTGTAGCATTTATTCTCGATATAAAACATTTTAGTTAGGAAATCTTTTCCGAATTTTTCCTGAGTAGATTCTGACTAAACCATCCTATAAAGAACTACAAAATATTGTTCTTTAAGAAATTACCAGACCTGAACACCAAACCTTTGATCGTTGATTAACGAAATTGTCATTTTCGTTGTCGATTTGACTTCTAAGTTGAGTTTGAAAATCATCGAAGGTAGGCACCGTTAATCAAAAAGTTAATGTCCTTAACCAAAACATTAACTTCGTAAACCGTTATGCTTTCAAAATGTTACGGAGGTTTCTGTCTATATTTCTGAGATGAGGTATTATGTACACTATTTACATTATCCGGACTCTTATCCTCATCTTTGTCGCCATATTTATTAGAACGTTTCGGCCGTTGTACGCTCCGGCCTTCTTCAGGTGGGTGGAATGTTGAACTGAACCCTTTATTTCGCTCACTGGGGTAGACTGTTCTACTTCCACGTGCCATGTCTAATGGATGTCAGTTATCAGTTATCTCCTGTTAATTTCCCTATGAAAGTTCTCCACTGCCTTAACCGGGTATTGAACTCACACTCTTTGGGTCCTGTCACTGGATCTAACCAACGCCTTTATCCACTGTGCCATTTGTCCTTGAGGCTAAATCCAGAGACATCGGTAAGTGTCTGCATCTGCATGGAACTAACATCATCAATACGTGACGGAGAATCATTAAAACATAGTGATATCATCTGGTATTGCTGGGGTGCACCAAGTTTATGCCATCACGCTTAGGCGATCATGTATCTTTCGATACAAGACTGACGAGGTAGATTTTTTTCCATCAGTAGTTTGCCATTTCTTTGGGTGGTAGACCAGTCGCCATATAAGTCTATAGAACCCGGTCCGCCCTGCAGGGAGAAGAAGAGGATTCATATATTTCCCAACTTTACGACTGGAACTCGAACTCGGCTCTCCGATTCCTCAATCCTAGCCGCTATCCATTACTTCACCGTGCCTCTGCGTTTGTGATAGCTAAGTTTAATCCTCAAAATATATAAAGAGGATAGACAATCCGTCAGCATGTGCATCTTAATAGATCTAACATTCTTACTACGAGACGAAGAATCATCAAAACGTGGTGATAACACATTGCATTGCTGGGGTGCACAACGTTTGCTGTGGCTGAGTTTAATCCTCAAATTGTATAAAGAGGATAGAAAATCGTTCAGACTAATCTTCTATTATTCTCGCTCCATAGCAGTTTTTTTCTGTTTTCTAACTAGTTCATACCTTGCTTGGGGTAAATTTCGATTAATAAAATATTTACGTCCCGAATACCGACTTATTACTCTGCCTTCAAATTATGCAGCAGTAATTTAGAACAATTTCATTCAACGCTCGAAATTTCTGATTTCTTAAGTCATTTGTTAACACCTATACAGTCACTCCTCACAGAGGAAGAAGAGGCTCGAAGTAACAGACATGTGGTTCTACAGAAGGATACTGAGAATAACATGGACTGAACATGTGAATAACAAGTAAGTTTTTAAGGAAAATGAAAACGAAATGTAGACTTATACATACGACCAGAAAGAAAAAAGGTGACATTTCTAGGACAGATAATAAGGAAAGAGTGTTAGGAGAATTTGATACTCACAAGGATATATTAAATATAAGAGAAGCAGAGTAAACATCGAGTATAATAACTGATGATTGTGTCTTAAATGAATGGCATAACAGGGACTGAACAGTAAAAAGACAAATATTACTCAGAGCTACGAAGGATAGGAAGTTGTGGAGAGCTAGGTTGTCAACATCCTGAAGAAAAACGGTGCATCGACAGAAACATTTTCCTTACTAGAAGTAGTAGAAGTAAAAAAAAATAAGAAGAATTAGTGTGTACCTAAAATGTATTCTTCAGATTTTTAGTAAACTTGAACATTAATACGGAAACAGGGTTCCAGTAAAACCTTGACTAATTAGCAAGTACTTTTAATACTAGTTAATAATTAGCAAGTACTTATAATACAGTATACATTACTGTTTCGTTAGAAGTAAATACTTAACTAATTGATCTCTTCAGTTCAAAGTTGAAATGATGATCCATCTTCCTGCCGTAATCGCACGACTCGGGATCGAATGTCTGAAATCCATACAACCAGTTGACTCGAACGTTGTGAGTGAAATTGTATGGATAGAATTGGTTCAAAACCATTGATGTTTGTACCAGCACTGAATTACAAGTCATCGTGACCGAGTTCTTAAGCATACTGGCCTTGTTCAATTCTTTTATTACGCCATATTTAGTGTATACAAGTATATATGGATGTATGTATGTATGTATACCTACATATATATTTTAAGACATTTTTATGCTTATACATTCTTTTTATAGATAAAAATATTTAAGTAAATGGTCTGTTTATAATAAACAGTATTAAACAACATTTATCGGTCTGAATGTCCGATAAATTTTTTTAAAAAATATTCGTCGTGCGACAGGAATCGAAGCTGTATCCTATACGGAACCGTCTAATAACCTGACGTGCCTTAACCGATTGGGCCACAGAGGATGTCTTAAAATAATTGTCGGACTTTGTTCATTTAATAACGTGTGACTACATATATATATATATATATGAAAATATATATGCAGAGACATACATGTGTATATACATACATATATATGTATATATACATATATATGTATATTTACTGAGTATTTACATAGTAGGTAGGTGTTTGCCTTTAGGTTTTTTTTTTTTTTTTATTGCTGTCCTTGTTCGAGATGTTATCTTGTTTAAGGCTATTTAGGTCTTTTTATTAAGTTCTCCGTTGGTTTCACCAACGCTTTTGTTTTTTCTCATATATATATATATATATATATATATATATATATATATATATATAAAAAAGAAAGATTGTGCTTTGTTAAAAAAGAGTTCAGTAGAATATTTCTCAAAGATAACGCTTTTATGGCGAACAGGTTTTGTAATTATAGTGTACAGTGTCAAGAGAATAATAAGAAATAAAATTAACTTAAATCCGTCCCGCCTCTGAAAGACGGAATAGAGACAGATAAGTGGAGAATTAAACTATCAAATCTCCCCATCTATCTATCTATCTATCTATCCTCCCTTCTTTTTTCTTTATCTATCTATTCATTCATTCATCTATCTATCTATCTATCTATCTGTCGGACTCTGTCTATCTATCTATGAACAGACTCTATCTATCTATCTATCTATCTATCTATCTCAAATTGAAAAAAAAACAATGAAAAGGAGAAATAAGCATGACATTGTACACGTACGCACATATACACGCATAGTAGCGCATGAGCACGAACGCTCACGCACACACACACACACACACACACACACACATTATGAAAAAAATCCCCTTTACACCAAGAAAAAGTGCATATATAAAGGAAAAGTCGAGAAGTATAAACAATCAATTGCTGATACCCACTGACGAGTGGACGGAGTGATTTTCATAGACGGACCCTCGTTTATGAAAATCTGGAGTCAGGATGGTGAAGATAACAACAATCAACAAAGTGACAAAATTTATACTTGTATTAATTCTACACACACAAACACACATACACACACGCATAATCTCTTCCCTGAATAGAGCCCTGTCGGTCATTGGCGTGTTTATTCGAAGAAAAAGTACGTAACAATTAACCTTCCTCTCAACCGGGCGTAAAATCCCCGACTGAGGCCAAATCAGTCGGGTTTCGATCCCGGCTTGAGGCAATCGGATGTTTAGCTACAGCGATACAGTGAAACAGTCTGTCTCTGGATGGCAGTATATACGCCCAGGGAAAATTTAATTCTGGTCGAGCACCCTTGTGAGAAAGCGCGAATTTGTAAACAATGACTACTATTGCTAATACTGCAAAGCTCTTCAATGAATTGAGCCCTCTCGGTCATTAGCGCGTTTTTGCGTGTTTATTCGGGCATTTCAGAGGGAAACTCTCTGATGCCAAATCAGTCAGATATCTAGCCACACTGATGAGCTGTGATACAGCGAAACAGTCTGTCTGTGGATGGCATTATACATATATATATATATATATATATATATTAACCTTCCTATTTCGAAGTGCACCAGTGAAATTTCTTCTTGAGTCACGGACGGCATAAATATTTTTTATTCCTTCTCGGAAATATCAGGTGAAAACTAAGTCTTCCCATGGTACCCACCAGCATGTTCTGCCGCTATCGCCCACTGGAATCACTTTTTTCCGGCTATACCAGTGTTTCAGTTGCGATCACATCAGACCCCTATTCATGGCCGTAATAAATGTAAGCATGTCCTCGAATGAGTTATGTCATTGTCCGATGCATCTGGCGACTCTGAGCAAGATTTCTATTCCTCCTGCTGACAAAATGCGGATGTTTCGCCCGTAGATTCTCTTTAAACTCTATTCTTGACTCATCTGGAATATCCTTGCTTATTACTCCATTTAAAACCTAGTCTCTGTTTAGTGATATGCATATAACCACTTCCATGGTTTCTGCTATCATCTCTAATCTGGATCCCCACAATGCCTGTGGATCTGATGGCATTCATGTAATAATCCTTAAGAAGTGCGTTCCAGAACTGGCTCCTGTTCTCTCTAAACTCTATAATAAATGTCACGTTACCTCTTATTTTAGTGCTTGTTGGAAATACTTATCTGTTGTTCTGGTCTTTAAGAACTCAGATGAGCCGTCTTACCCTTCCAACTATCGGTCCTATTAGCCTTCTAAATCTTTATAGGTAAACCTGTAGACCCTAATTATTGTTGAATTAGTTAAGCATCTCACGTCGCAGAGCCTTCTTTCAGACAAGCAATATGGCTTTCGCTTCTCTAGGTCAACTGCTGATGTATTAATAATTACTCCGTAAAGAGTCTATTAATATTTATAAAAGAATGGTGAAGCTCAAACTGTTGCGTTGGACATCGCGAAAGCGTTCAACAGGATTTGGCATACCGAAATTCTTCACAAGCTGAAAAGTTATGTCTTGTAATGTCAACGACCACTCGTTTGACATTTTGTAATGTCAACAAATATTCGTTATCAATTTCGTAGTGCCCGTTGTAGTAGAGACTTTGTAATTGCAAATACAACTATAGTGACACCGTTGAACCATACTGGTGTCAGACGCCTTCAAATAACACTCACACTCATTGTACTTCCTCGATAATACTCGCTGGAATAGTAATCAGAATAGTGTTCCGAATAGAGAAATAGTATAGTGGATAATATAGAGAATAGCGGCCCGTTTAATAATAGAGGATAGAGTAGAAATAGCGATCGTTACTCGTCAGCTACATTCTACATATATGCGTTTCCTCTATGGTCACGTGGTCTATTTAATTCAATAAGGAGACCGCCTGTGTTTGCTCACAGGCGATCTGTGTTCAAACTCAAGTGTCGGCAGAGACTCTTTATTCCTTTATAACATTATCGTGTATCCGGGCGAATTTTTGAACTGATTCAGTCTTTCTTATCAAATCGCGAAATGAAAGTCATCTCGAACGGCCACTCTTCTAGATCCTTTCATACTAATGCACGTGTCACCCAAGGCTCTATCATTGGTCCTACTTTGTTCTTAATTTTCTGATGGCATCAGCATTCAATTTTCTATCTAGGAGGATGACAACATCATTTACTCCTGATACTATATCTACACAGTTTGATAAAGTCAACTTGGCGGCTGATGTCAAAAACGACGTGCAATCTGTTGTTAACTGGGGCAAAGAATGGCTTGTTAATTTTAACGCCTCCAAAACTAAACTCCTCTCTATTAATCATCTGAAGGACCCCTTTCTACCTTCCATCAGCATGGCTGATGCTAACCTCCAGGAGAGTCGTTACGCCTTCTCGGGCTAACATTCTCTGCTGATATCACGTAGAAAGAATAAAATTGAATCCATTGCTAGGTCTACTGCTAAGAAAGTTGGTTCACTGTGGCGTGTTGGATAATTTTTCTCTCCAGAATCTATCTTACATATCTATAAGTCTGCCATTCATCCATACTTAGAATATTACTGCCACATATGGTCCGGTGACCCTGCCATATATTTGGAGATTCTTGATAAAATCCAAAGAAGAATCAGTAATATTATTGGTCCTGACCTGGCATGTCGGCTTCAGATTTTTTCCCGTCATTGTAATGTTGCTTCCCTTTGCCTTTTCTATAAACTACACATAAATACATGGTAACTCTTCCGATGATCTCTTCCCTATGATACTTAGACTTTATGAATTTAAGAGCATTACCTGATTGGCAACAAGTTTTCATCAATTTACAGTTGTATTGGATAGATTTAACCGCAAGTTATATCCCAACAGTTTCATTTCTCACACTTCTCGCTTGTGGAAGTTTCATCCGGCTCCATGTTTTTCAAATCTTCAAAAATTTAAATGCAATGTCAATCGTTATCTACGGTCTTCCTGATTACTCTTCTTATTCTTCTATGGTTCTCGATCATTAGTAATGTTTCTGGCTTGTTCTGCTGGGAGAACATATGGACCTACCAGACAGTCACCTACAATTCCAGCCCACACATTAATTGTAAACTGATGCTGGTGTTTAGACTGTATTGCTCCATGGGGATTCTGATCTGATTCTGGTTGTGTAAATTTATTATTCCATCTCTTCCAAATATTACATCATCCATAAACAAGACTGAAGAGACAAACAACGGATCAGCAATTTGCGCAATAAACTATCGGCAAAAGTTCACTTATGGTGAGTGATCAGAGGGCAAAAGACTCTGCACACATTGCAAAACAAATGATACGCAGTAACTGCTTGTGTATTAGTTGCTTTACTGCCTTACTTTGGGTAAATCTGATTGTATATATATATATATATATATATATATATATATATATATATATATAATAGAATCGTTTATAACTATCTCTGCTCTTCACCTGTCGAGATGCATTCGCATCGAAAAAATGCAACTTTGTCGTGAGTACTTGTTTGTCCGTTTGTAACATCATTATAATATATATATATATATATATATATATTGAGAGCGAAAAAAAAAGAGAGAGAGAAGATAGATAGATAGATAGATAGATAGATAGATAGATAGATAGATAGATAGATAGAAAACTTTGAATTAAAGAAAGGAATAGAAAAGAGTTACGAAGGAAGCTTATTTTTGTCTAAAAAGCTAAAGAGAAACGTAGAAAATAATAAAGTGCTAAACAATTCGAAAGAATTAAAAAGAAAGAAAGAAGGAAAGAAAGAAAGAAATCTGAGTATAAAGCCATATAAATGAGAAACGAATATCAACGACGCCTAAAATATAAAAAAATATCAAGAAACCAAACAAAACGAAGGAAGATAATGTTAAAAATAAAGATAAGAAGAAAAAAATCTGTTCAACAAATGACTGAAAATGAAAAGAAATAAAAAGACGGATTATAAAAGAAAAAAAAAAAGGTTTTGGTGACGATCAAATGGAAAAGATCATCTATGTTAAAAGCGTCTCATTGTTTCGACATGGCCGCCGCTGCTTTTGGCATCTAAATCTTTGCGACTAAAAACGTTTACACAGCACTTATCAGAGATTGTCCATAAACAGGCAAAACGAAGTTGGATAATGAGCTTATTTTAGTTGGAATGAAAACGTGGGTGGAGGCCACATACACACAACCGCAAGCACACCACACAAACACACAAAGATTCACACACACACACACACACACACACACACACACATATATATATATATATATATTGCGCTGTATAAATTAAATAAAATACATCGAGCTCTTTTTTGTGGATCAGTTCTAATATTTTAATATTACTAGGATCCACTTGGATTATATATCAGCGGATTTTTTTTTACCTCACTATACACACACACACACACATACACACACACACACACACTCACACACATATATATATATATATATATATATATATATATATATAAAAATATATCTTTATATACTGAAGCCATCACACATACACGCACACACATACACACACACATATATATATATATATAAAGAAATATAGTCTTAAAGTGTGCTATATTTATGGAATAAAGTCCTCAATATCAGAGATAGAGCGTGTGTAAACATAAAAGTGAACATAGAAGTCAACACTTAGAGGCGACAGTCTGTTTCATGCTATATGCAATCGTCAGGCAACCTGGATATATATATATATATATATATGCGTACGTACGTTTGTGTAAAGGCTTCAATATATAAATTCTTTAGCTCTCTCTCTCTCTGTGTGTCACGCAGCAGCAGGTACTTGCATATATATATATATATATATATCATGAGTGTGTGTGTGTGTGTGTGTGTGTGTGTGTGTGTGTGTGTGTAAGAGTCTATGTATGGAAATCTTGATACACAAATTTATATATCAGACTAATAGTGGGTAATTGAAATGGAAAAATTGAAAAAAAAAACATTCGTTACGCGTTTCGTCCTTCGAAAAGAGTTGTTCAGGCTAATAATGTTCTACTTACGAAATCTCCCATATGTGGGACCATATCTGCAAGATGATACAACATATTATCAGCTCATATCTTCAGCGTCGTAAAACATATCACCTTTCCTGTCAAAACGTGTGTCGTTACAATGAGGGATTTTTTCAAAACAACAGAGATTAGAATTAAAACAAAAGCAGTAAATAGCTTCTGTTTGAATTTCTGGAATGAGATGTTATCATTATTTACATTGGAAATATTGTCCTAATCTTTGTTGTTGTTATCACAATGTTTCGGAAGTTTTGCTTTCCGGCCTTCTTCAGTTTTTTGTTGATGCCGGTAACGCATTTAAATTGTTCTTGTTCCTCTTACAATGTCTACACTACCCAGCCCAGGGATTGAACTCATAATTACTCTGTCACAAAATTCATGGACCACTAGGCTATTAATAGATTTTTATTAGATTATTGATAGATTTTTCTGTTGTGCAGCCTCATATTTTAGTTTTGTTGTTGTTTATTTTCTATGATGACTTGCATTTTTGTGGTTTCTATGAAGCAACAAAATCAAAAACAGAACCACGTGTACATAGACAAATATAAGATTTTCCATTGCAGCCTTCTCAAATCTTATCATATTACATTCACTTATTTTTTAATACCCTTGGGAAAGTTAGGAATCTTCTTCTCCATCCAAAAATGGGTAATTAGAAAAACAGATTGCGTTCTATAGCCTTGGATGGCAACTGGTCTAGGAGAAGAACAAAACTGAATTCAAAATTTGCAGAGAGTCGTTTGGGTACACCAGGTCTCTGTATTGAGCCCGTCAAAAAATGTGGTTGGTTCTGCACAAAGCCTTCAGCACTATAATCGAATCATATGTGCTGGTGTTTGGCTGTCGGTTCCTAGAACTGAGTTGCTTGACCTCCATACGTCAGGAGAGTCCACCAGATATATATATATATATATATATATATATATATATATATATATATATATATATATATATATATAAGTGAACATTGAAGTCAACACTTAGAGGCAACAGTCTGTTTCATGCTAGATGCAATTGTCAGGCCACGAGAGCTGTTTTTTTTCTCGGCTATTTATATATACGCATTGTGGGTAGTCTATTTTGACTGTTATTTTACCGGAAGTCGTTTATGTGTTTATTTATTTGGGTTAAATTATTTTGCATGTCATTATTTATTTTTATTTTTTTATTTTTTATTTTTATTTCTTATCTTACATATTTATTTTTTATTATTTTAATCATTGTTTTTATTAACGTAGTAAAAATTGTTTATATCGCATTGTTCTGTTCGCATATTAACTAACATCTTTCACAAATAGTAAATATGCGGACAGCACAACGCTTCCTAAGTATATCTGGGAAATTAAAAACAAAATGCACATCACACCAAAAATATCTTGGAAAATAAGGAAAAGATCATCAGCCTCCAACAACCAATCCAAAATTTGGAAACTTTACTTGGAGGAAAAAATAGCTATCATTATATTCTCAGACCAAAATAAATTATTAAATAAAAGATCCGAGCTAATCTCAAAATGCAGACATGAAAACAAATTTTTACTACGTTACTTAAAAATCGAAAACTGAAAAAAATACAATAAAATAAAATAAATAAACAAAATGACAATAAAATAAGTAAAATAAATGAACCCAAACAAATTACCAAATCGCACCCGTTAGAATAGACGAAATAGAATAAATAATTAAAAAAATAAAAAACAAAATCAATGAACCCAAATAAATACAGTAAATAATAAACAAATTAACAAACCATTATGACCAAAATATTAGTTAGAATCAAACCAAAAATCGGACGAAAAAAATAGCTATAACTGTTATATAACGATAAAAAAACACTGCGTTACTTAAAATCGAAAACCGAAAAGCGTAAATAAAAATATACAGTATAATAAATAAATAATAATAAACAAGTAAAATAAATTAATCTAAATTAATCCAAATAAATAAACAAACTAACAAACCGATCCCGATAAATTAACCGTTAGAAAAAACAAATAAAGATAATCAATCCAAATAAATACATGAAGTAATAAACAAATTAAAAACTGCACCCGCCAAAATAATGGTTAGAATAAACTACAATAAACAACCCCAAAATTGAATAAATAGCTTTAATTATTTTCCCAAACCAAAACAAAACTATTAAATAAGCGATATAAACAAATCTTTACTACGTTAATGAAAACACCGGTTAAAATAAATAAGAAAGAAAAATAAAAAATAAAAATGAAAAATAAAAAAAAAATAATGACAAGCAAAATAATTTAACCTAAATAAATGATTAAACAAACAACTTCCGGCAAAATAACCGCAAAAAATAAACTACCCACAATGCACCATGGACCCGTATGGATAAATATACGAGGAAAAAAACAGCACTCGTGGCCTAACGATTGCGTCTAGCATGAAACATCTATCTCTAATATTGAGCACTTTATCCCATTATTCTAGCAAACCTTAAGGCTATATTTCTTCATATATATATATATATATATATATATATATATATATATATATATATATTCTTTCCTGTCCATTCATTCACGTCATCCATGACAGACTTTTTTTTTCCTTTTTTTTTCTTTCATAATTTGTGTTCCCCCGTTAATAGTTCTGATGAGAGGGACGAAACTGGTGTGTGTGTTTTTTATTTTAAATCTATCATGGCCTGTAATAAAAAAAATTTCTTGTTTTTTTTTATGCCATGATATATATATATATATATATATATATATATATATATATATATATATATATCAACCATGATAATTAGTAGGGATAATTCCAAGGAGGACATTAATCAAAAGAGTGCTCAATGTAAGAACAGCAATATAATAGTGGTGTGTTCAGGTGACCCTTAAAAATCCATTCGCTATAAATTCACTTCATTTATTAAGAAAAACAGGCGAAGAGATGAATAAATGTTTGTATATTCATGAAATAAAATATAACCGAATGGATTTTTAAGGATCGCCTAGATTCATCATTATATATATATATATATATATATATATATATATATATATCGTTATAAGGTTGTTATTGTCATCTTTATTGCTATATCCACGTCCAAAACTTTGTGAATAATGGCAATAAAGATGAGGACAACAATCCGAACAGTGTCAATAATGTAAATAATTAAATACCTCACATTTTGATTGCTCGAAAATTTAGAAAAATACAATAAAAATTTAACACTTAAAGAAAAGAGCTTATATATATATATATATATATATATATATATATATATATGATAGGCTGTATGGATATGAGTTTGTGACCCTGGGTTTCACGCTTTTGCGTGAAACAAACATACGACCTATTGTGTTAAATCTATCACTGTTATTGAGCGCTTTCCACTAAGCACGGCGTATTTTAAATAATATATATATATATATATATATATATATATATATATATATATGTTGGAGTTTGTATATGCACATTAAAGAAACAGTCTCTGTCGGTTGTATATAATAGAGCTTGTTTGCGCGCAGACACACACACACATATAGAGACAGACAAAGAAATAGAGAGAGAGAAAAGAGAGTATAAGAGAGAGAGAAAGAGAGAGTATAAGAGAGAGAGAAAGAGAGAGTATAAGAGAGAGGAAAGAGAGAGAAAATTCCATGTATATATATATATATATATATATATATATATATATATATATAATGTGTGTGTGTGTTTTTTTTTTGTGTAGACGCTATATGTAAAATTTTAGTGTATGATTTTTTTATATGTGTCTCTTATATAATTACGCTTTAAATTTTGTGAAGAGTCAATACTTTATTTACTAGTTAAATACGTTATTTTCGGTTTCAAATCTACAAAATAAAGGCGAAATTCCACTATATTATCGGGAAATATTTAAATTTAATAATTTTAGCAAAATACATGAAACAATTATGTAATAATTTTGATTTTTTTTTATTGTGTTTATTTAATCTTTAATACATAATATTACGAATTCTCAATTTTTATCCTCATTAATAAGTCAAGACTATTTCATTAATGAAGCAGAAATATCAACAGAATTTGAATAATATAGAATATTAATTAAATTTATCAAAAGAAGAATTATGTATTTATTTATTTCGCCATTTCTTTCTTTCTATTTCATTCTTTTCGAAATTAGCCGTTCTTTTCTTTTTTCTTTTCTTTTTTCTTTTCTTTTTCCTTTATTTTCATTTTATTGAAATAGACGTGAAGCGACTTAAAGCGTTATCGCTTCCTCTATTTTTTTTTCCCTTCTTTTTCACTTTCTTTCTTTTTCTCTTTCTTTCTTTTTCTCTTTCTTTCTTTTTCTCTTTCTTACTCTCTTTCTTTCTCTCTTTCTTTCTTTCTTTCTTTCTTTCTTTCTTATCTTGTATGCTTCCGTCATTCCCTGTAATCAAACGGAATTGTTTATCATTTTCTAAAGGTACTAACAACGCGTATAATGTATTTTTTTAGTTTAATTAAGATTTTATTTCATCATTATATTATTATTAACATATCACGTTATATTTTGTTTAAAAATAAATTTCTTGAAATCTTATAGTTACCAAAATAAGTATTCTTTCTTTTTTCTTTCTTTCTTTCTTCTTCTTCATATTATTATTATTATTATTTATACTTTCTTTACCTCAGTTGTTGAAACGCATTGAAACAGATTCCCGTACGATCACCGAAATTAAGCAACGTCGAGCCTGGTCAGTAACTAGATGGGTGACTGCTCGAGAATAGCAGGGGCGGGTGATATAATGGTACGGAATTGTTAATCGGAGAACCGTGTTCCAATTCCGGCTCGGTTCGTTATATTCCCTTATGAGCAAATACCTTTATGACTCCACCGCTTATCCCCCAGATACGGGTTAATTAGTAACACTTGTATCCATATTATCTCCAAAAAAATTCATACAGTCTAAAAATACTTTCTGGCTTTAAATAAGCTGTAAAGGGTTGATAAGCCGTAGAAATCGAATCAATCGAGACAGCGTCGCTTTATATCTTTTTCTTTCGTCTTTTCTCACAATCAAAAAGGAGTGGTCCATTATTTATCTGAGGTAATGGCCAGACGTAGCGCATCTGACTACCGAGTGTACAAGTAGAATTTCAATATGACATGTCAAATTAATGAGTGCGTATATGCGTGCGTGTGTGTGTGTTCATGTATATATGTGTGTGTATGTGTCTGTATATCTGTTTGTATGTGTATGTGTGTGTGTCCAAGTGAGAGTGCATGTGTCTGTATATGTATGTGCATGTGTGTATGTGTGTATGCATATGAGTGTGTATGTGTGTGTGTATATGAGTGTGTGCATGCACGTATGTGTGCATATGTGTATATGAGTGCGCGCATATGTGAGCATGTTTATGTGTCCGTGCGTGTATGTCTGCATATGAGTGTGTGCGTGTGTACGTGTCTGCGTGTGTGTGCATGTGTGTGTGTGTACGTGTGTGTGTGTGTACGTGTGTGTGTGTGTTTGTACACATACGTATATTTATAGATCCATGATTATATATACTCTCTGGGAGTTTGTTCTAACGAGCATGCTTTCTTCTCGTTCTCCGCTTCAAGGAGATTTTTTTTTTTTTTTTCAAAAAGACATAACCTCCACAAACCAGTAAAAGCGATTTGATCGTAACGTCGAAAGATCGACGCGCCTATTCGATACCCAAACAATGGCCGGCTGTGATATTTCCACTTCTTGGCGTCGATGTCTATGAAAACAAGAACCGCGTTTGGCAAGATTAACTCCTATCGTTCTTGGTTTACTTGCCACAACGAAGTAAAAGCCGCTATTTTACCAGTCGTTCTGCTGCTTCTCTCACCAAAAAATTAAAAAAAAAATAACTCAGCTTTTGTTCTACAGCAGTTAAATAGAAAAAAAAATAAACACAGAATTAAAAATAAACAAAAACAAGAGACTGAAAAACCGACTGTATGTTGTAATAATAATAGTAATAAAATGGAGGAAAAAAAGGTTTACTTTAAATTTAACATTCCGGACCACACTTCTTCTCTGTGTTTTGTATGGGAGTAGAGGTTTATCATTTGCTTCCTGTTTAGGATCAGGTTTCCGGTTTCTTTCTCTTATATTTTTTATCGTTTTCTTTCTCTAGTCCTGGGTATGACGATAAACTACATCCGGCAGCAAAGTCTCTGATCGGGAAATTAGAGGTTTTGATGAGCGTTCAACCACTTCTTAATTACTGTTGGTTCAAGATCCACTCGGACCCGGAGTTGTAGCACCTGTTAGGGTCCCAGCTATGGGCAAATATTGAACTCATAAACAAAAACAAAAGACTATGAAAGCATTAAAATTCATTTTTATAGTAAAAATACCAGTAACACATTTTTATATAAAAAATTACCATCAATACCTATTCAGAGTAAAATTGCTAATACCTATTTATAGTAAAATTACCAACAATACATTTTATAGCAAAATGGCCAACATTAAATTTCATCTGTAATTGAAGCCATAAGATTGTGTCCAAAATAATTAGATTTCGGCGTTAAATAACCTATAGATGTTGATATGCCGCTAAACAAGATCAAACAACCAACAACATTTTCTTTCACTCGCAGCAGATCTTTGCGTCTTAGTTGCATTATCGCCTTGCTTGGAGGAATATAAGAATTCCAAACGGCGGAAAGATTATTATATCACCTAAAGGAAAGCGAGAAGAAAGGACTAAACACCAGATGTCAGAAAACAGAATGGACTGCTATCAGCAAAAGGAACAGCCCAGTCGCCGAACTTAGAATTGAAGGCACCAAAATCAAAGAAGTGCAAAAATTTAAATATTTTGGATTATTTTTAACGGCGTGGGAGGAGGAATGTGACACCAAAATCCGAAGACACATTGGAATAAGGAAAGATGCCTTCCAAAAGTGAAGCAACGTACTAAGAAACAGGAAAATTCCTTTAAAAACAAAGAAAATAGTACTGAGCTGTTATGTAAGAACGATACCCCTATATGGCAATGAATACTGAACAATTTCCTTGCAGATGAAAAAGAGATTTCAGGCAATATGGTTCTACAGAAGGATGCTGAGAATACCATGGATTGAACATGTGAGTAACGATGAGACTTTAAGGAAAATGGAAATAAAAGTACAATAGAATAGGAAAGTGTTGAAATTTCTATGATACATAGCGAGAAAAGAGGGCTTGGAAAATTTGATACTCACATGTTGAAAGCAAGTGGGAAAAATTTCGAATAAGCTTGGGGAATTGATTGGCAGAACAGGAATTACGAGAGAAAGCAAAAAGAATAAATCTTACTAAGCGCTACAAAGGACAGGAAATTGTGGAGGGCCATTATCAGCCGTGTCCTAAAGGGACAATGCACATAGTAAATGAAGACTGATATTTTTATAATAACTGGCAGAACAAAAGGATGGACCTTGGGCAGTTTTTCCACAATTTTCGTCTAGATGTGCAATAACGTATTCAAAAATTGGGAAAATACAACAAAAATTTAAAAGACAGATCTTGGTTGAATTTATTAAAAACTTTTAAAGTGTATATACAGTAGAATCCCTCGTATCCGAAATCCCTCATATCCGGAGTGCCTCATATCCGGAATCCTGCATATCCGGACATGATTTTGGTGTGTATATTTGAACTATTTGGGTGATATGTAACTGATCTGAAATTTCTGTTTTTTCAGGAAATTTACTTTGGATAATTGCTTATACTTATTTCACCCTAATGGCTTGTATTGGTGCAAAAGATGATGGGAATAAGAGGAAAAGAACAACTTTGAAGCTATCGCAAAAAGTGGAAATTTTAAACAGACTAGACGCTGGTCAAAGTTCATTGTAACTAATGGCTGAGTTTAGCATAGGAAAGTCAACATTGTATAATATAAAATCTTCCAAAGAAACTATTCTCCAGCGTTCACACTGTCACAATGAACAAGGAAATAAAAAAAGCATGATTGTGATGAAATCTGGACTGTAATTGAAAAAGCTATTGAAAAGATTGTCAGTTTTATGGAAAGAAAGCCAGCATTCAGCTATAATATTTCTAATAACGCACGCAGACTTAAGAAGTGTCTTTCGTTTAAAAATTCAAAAACAAAAGCAAAACGAAATGAGGAAAAAGTTGAGAATGACATTAGAAAAAAAAGAATCGTCATGCAACAGCCATCGATATATTATTTGTTTTGCATACTTAATTTAATGAACTTTCATTAACATTACATAATTTATTTCTTTTTCCTTAAAATCAATTCCCATTCACCATTAGCTTATTTTGTTTACTAAAAAACATTGAAAATAAATGTTAAACCTGATTTCAGTTTTTATTTTAATCTAAATACAACCCTCATATCCGGACTTTGTAACCAATTCCTCATATCCAGAAGGCCTTCTTAGTCCGGTTGTCAGGGATTCTACTATATATATATATATATTTGAATTTGTAGGTCTGATGATTTGGATCGCATTTACGATTCCAATGGAATAAATTATGACCATGGAATATTAGTGTTTAAGCCTTTTTATTATATCCTTACTCTGTCCTAGACATTGAGTTCTACCTGGATCCTTCCTCTTGGAAAATTTTTTTCTGAAAATATACATGTATGGGAATTTTTTATATATATTTTGCATATGTATGTATATTTTCCACTAATATTATCTCTCTCTCTCTTTCTCTCTCTCTCTCTCTCTCTCTCTCTCTCTATATATATATATATATATATATATATATATATATATATAAACTACTGCCTAATATATACATAATTTATACTAAAGAATCAATGGAGTTTTCTTTTTAAGCCGGCTTATTTTCATTACTTCAAGCGTTAATTTTAGAGAATCCTCGTATTTGAGTTTGAATTCTGTCAGGGGGTACATTTTCTCAAGTACACATGCCGGTAGATGAAATAAATACTGGTTAAAATAAACGGAACGGCTACTCAAATACGGGTATCCATATAAAAAAAAATAACGTTTAAAGTCATAAAATGACTCACACTGCTTTATCGTAAACTCACTCATATCTCGAACACACTTGCTTGCGGTGTGCCGGGAAACCTCATCAGTTAAATTTATGGTGTCTTCGGAGGTTCCGGGCCTCTTAAAACATCAGACCCCACTCTCCCAAGCGACTCAATCGGCTATCACCTCCCGGTCAGCTCCATAGACTCAAGAGAGTCCGGTAAATTTGGCCTGAATATCTCTTGGTTTTATTCTTTTTGAAACTAAGCCAATGAAAATTGATTTTACAGTCACTGCCAATATGGCGAGGAAAAAATCGCTGTATAAACATTTAATTCTACTGGGTGGCTAGGTTTGTAGGGTAAAATACGTAAATACTATTCAGTGAAATCGGCGTTCCGGGTTCAAATTCCAGGCTAGTCTTTTGCAAAAAAAATCCGAATCCATCTCTCCTCAACCAGCTATGGGTTAAACAAGCTCTCTAGCCTGTGGTGGCGACCAGTCTAACAGAAGCAAAACACTGAATTCAAAACCGAAGAGAAAGCATTGGATTATTATTCCACTATCTTTCACAAGACTTTTGTGTTAACTAGACGTAACTATAACTTCTATGTTGATAGATTATTTTCTCTCCCTTCTCGCCTGTGGAACTCCCTTTCATCTCCATACTTTCCAGTCAACTTTAAAACTTTTAAATGCAAAATC